TGAGAATGACTGACACCGGCATTCCAAGCGGCATTCTGAGACCACCAGCTTGAATGGATATCCTCTAAGATGAACGTTGGGTGATAATTTTAGCAGCGGGAGACACGGATGGTTTGGGTTTTGCATTATTTGGTATACCATAATCATATCTCCTCTGATGAATGGTGAATGTAACCCCAGTGACTTAATTATCTGCGTATGAACACCGATTCAACCCTCTGACCATTTTGGTACCCATCCTTTCAGGAATCCAGCATTTTGCAATCATGTTGTAGCCATGGGTTCCATGCCTGGAAAGCGTACTCTGTGAGTGGACGAATGTATGCTGATAGTAGAAGGGGGAAAAGCGCTGACTCAAACCGGTCAAAAACCTGCTTAAACAAATCGACATTTTTACAGCTGCGTTGGACACCTAGGTGAAGTTGAGTGAACAGCTTAAGTTTTCTTGAATGATGATGCCCAGGTACTTCTCACTTGCGGCGTGTGGCAGTTGTTTATTTCCGAGGAAATACGAAAATCGCCCGCTGTGTCGTAGAGATACAACATTGAATTCATTGAATTCAATACCGTCCATAAGGGACCACAATTCATCTTCCAAACTCCTATAGGCTCTCGAGTCGGGCTTTTCTAATTTTTAAATGGATAAAATTTTATGTGATTGGTAAATCAAAAATGCTGATTCTCATGTTTTCTGTTGACCGTATAGTGAATAAGTTTATCTTACAATCACCTTTCAGTGTTGATTACTTGTTAGTCCAACAGTGCGTTCCGTGGTTTGACGATGGGCTGTGTTTTTCCGCTTTATATTCAATTCACGCAACCGAGTCTATTTTTATGTATGCTTCTGAAATACTGTTGGTTTCTTCCTGATTTCCTTTTTAGATTTCCACTGCAGGTCTGTCCGATTTAGCCAAAGAGCGTCGTCGCATTCAGTGTCTACTGATGTATGTTGCTGAAAAGTGCCTGTTGGATTCGGATCTTCGAGCTATGGGTCTTCGAATGCCCAGCTATCTATCCCCACTTCAATGCCGCTCTGAAGGTGCTCCGATTTTCGACACCACACTCCGATTTACTCTGTCTGCGCTATGGAACCTGACGGACGAGTGCCCGGAAGCATGTCTGGGCTTTGTGGAAGAAGGCGGCTTGCGTATCTATGAACGCGTGCTTAAAGTGAGTTTGTTTCCACCTTAAGGGAAAGTGGATATTTTTCGTTTGTTCATTGATCGAGATAAATTGTAACAAGGGGCAAAAGTGACTGTTTTCCTAGCATGTGATTCAGGTTATGAGTATTGATTCGTTCTGTCGTCTGGCTATAGGTACATCGCTAGATTGTAATGAGTTATTGGTCTCCAACTTTTAAGAAAACTTGCATTTTAGATTCAATCTGTCGATCATATTGAATAGATGATGAATGTATTCGAGTTACCGTTAGCGTTTGGATCTTTGTACTCCTTCGTCATTCTATGCACAAAAGCGGTTTTCTCGGTTACTGAAGTACTCAAAATGGATCACTGTCTCCGTTGGGCAGAAATAACAAGTGTTATGAAAATTTCTATATTATTTAGTTAATGTGTATTATCGCTTCAATGTAACTTTCACATAACGTTACGAAAATGGAGTTTCAAATCCAATATTCCGTCTTCTTCGTTCCAACCGTCGCTAAAACTGTGACATTAAAGAGACGCTGTTGCATCAGATAGACTCGTTTACGGTTGTGAGGTCGCATTTATCAACGGGAAATCTTCGACCATCGATGTTTTGGCGCTAGTTGGATAGAGCGAGCGCACTAGATAGCTCGTAGTATATACGGATATGCTTGGGTGACAATTCGTTGTCACAATGAATTCGGATTACTAAGTTTCTTGATTAGGTCAGTTGTTGCTAGTGCCTGTTGCTGTTTACCGCATCACACTTTATTTACAGTTGCTGCTCTAGGTTGGAGGAATTCACATCGAGGTCAACGCACGACGCCGATACGAGGCATGAAGAAATGCACTGAGCGATTAGATAGGGTTGGAGTATCCCATCATCCAGATAACAATCCAAAACAGGTTGTGTGAAGACACTGAAAGGTCTAGCAGCGAGTCGTTAGCACTGGTGTACTTGTTATTTCTTATGAGACTAATGTTTGAACATGTGCAATCTGGCCGTAATGGTTCTGTTTCTTTACGTCTTACTCAAAATAGTTCACTTCATAATCACCCCACACATTCCGGCTTGCTCTTCACGCGTTGTGACTTTAACAGCAATCATTAAAGTTCATTTCACTATATTCGGCTCTACCTAGATGACCCACGAGAGAGACTGGAATGGGTTAACCCCGATGAGTTGTCTTATTTCGTCTAACTTTAGCTGATATCATGCCCTACTAAATCCATTCATGTCCTCATTGATTTTTTCCATTTCTATCCATCTATCGATTCCCGCTTGTCGTTTAAATGCCAAAGTCCCATTTTGCGCAACAGATTGCTTTTGGCTATTGATCTGGTCTCGTTCATCTGTTCCCTGTATTTTTCATTTTTCTTAACTACTGTCATGAGTGTTTTTTGCGGCCCTGCTTATTATTATTATTATTATTATTATTATTATTATTATTATTATTATTATTATTAATCATTATTATTATTATTAATCATTATTATTACTCTGTGATCAGTAGGATTGCCCAGGCGTCCATGTGGTGTGGATACTTCGTGTCATTCTCCCTTCTATTGTCTAATTCATTCTACTCTTACGAGTAGGCCTGATGGAAGAAGGCCATGTCGGTAAAACTAATCATCGCGGGGACTTAAATTTGCACACCTCACACTTGATTTCCCCGATCAAAACACTGCTTCTTATGTTCTGTGCCGGCCGGTTTTTACGCTTCAAACAGAAATTGCCAAGCAAAAAACAATCTGACGTGGAAATGTACAAATCTCAAGCGAGATTCTTTCGATAATGAAAAATGCAGTGTGGAAACTGTTTTTCACGCCAACACTTCGAACCTAATTCCCGCGATGCTTATGTACCAGTGTTGTCTGCACTTGTGCGTTAGCTGTCACCAAACGTGATGATTGAATATGTCGCTATCTCCCCAACGCCATTCAATTACGATGAGATTTTGTTTTCTACCATGAGGTTGGATTGTATAATTACTTTCTTTTCTCTGACCTTCTCATTTAGCGTTTTGCTGATCAAGAAGAAGAAGTGAAAAATCACGTGTACACGAAATGTCTCGGTTTGTTGGTAAGTTCTTTCCCGATTCTCACCTCATATTATCTGTTTGTGAACGTATTTTGCGGAGTTCGTTCAAGGTCCATGTAAGCACCGAGTAACCGTTAACGTCCGATTCTGTAACGTGCGATACATTCGTTTTAGTAACAACTCAGTGTTTCTTTTACGCTACTCGCCATACATCTACTAACCGGGTGAGCTGCTAGAGGACAGAAAAATCGGGGCACATTGACACAACAATAAGAGTTGTGTATAGAAGAATCCGTAATCATTGAACTGTTGTTTCATCCTTTTGGATTTACTCCTCTTGACGGACATAAATTCTTGTGACAGAGCCCTATATTTGTTCTGTTTTTATCAATTTTCTTTGCTTTGGGCTTCAGGTTATTGATGACTGCAATACAAATTCAAACGTTCCGGTAGCTATTCGGTATTGCTTAGGCGATATTGCGTATCTTTAGGACAACACTTTGCTCTCCATTTTTCACTGAGCGCAATACGTTGTGCGATCATAAAGTGAATTTATAACGCATTTGTGCGATATCTCCACGCCCCTTAGATAATGTATCGTCGATTGAGAGACGAAAAATTTAGAGCCACGTTCAATTGCCTGTTTTAGCAAGCAGAAGAAGCACAACCAACTTTTCGTAAATCGCTCAGTTTGTCTAAACGTAATGACGAGATTCCCAAAAATACCAATCAACATACTCACAATCTGTCATTTAATAATTTGGATTCCTAGGACCGACGTTAGCGGATCCACACAACTCGATGGCATTGGAGAAGCTCAGGCCTACCGTACTGATAACATGTTACTAGCATGAAAACATCACACCAAAAACAAATGAACTAATAGCGACAAAATTACGCAAACGACTCAGAGTTCTGCAGAAGAAAAAACAACCAAGCTCACAGAATAACATCCAGATTGGATGGCGGTGGGACTGCGAAAATAATGCTTCCCAATCGAACGGAGTACTTTCGAAGGATGAGAACCATAGTGGATAGGCAGTCAGACTCCCTCGAAACGACGGAAACAATTTAAGCGGACCAAATAAGGGGTTCTTAATGCAAGTGATTCATTTGTAAGACAGAAGGGAGCCCAAGATGCGAGCACCTTCGAATGTCTTTGGTCGACGAAGATAATGATTTCCGGGCTACATGGATTGATAAAGTTATTTCCAACTTCTTTTTTCTCGTGGGAACCAAGATGTCTGCTTTTGTTTTGAGGCGTGGGCCTTATTATTTTTACATTCGTTAGCTCCTTACTCACTTCAGACTTTTTATCCATCTGTAAAGTTTGTAATAGCCGACCAACTTGTACCCCCGTCAGTTTCAACCATTTCTCCATCGGATCATTGGTAACGCAGACAACCACACCATACCATCGGAGCGCATATGATGATGTGATCACATCATATGGTTGATCACGCTTCTTGTTTTGTTTTCTATCTCCATAGCCGGTTATGGGGATTTGTTCGTTTCATCAAGTGGCCTCAGTTCATTTCATGGTAAAAATTCGTCAACGGTTTCGTGGCATGTTAAATTATTATTTTTTTATTCTGTAAAATTATTCGACTGGGATACGTTGATTATATTTAGCTGAACCTTTTATTTACAGCACATATACTTGTACTAAAAAATGGGCCATATTAAATCTGTTTAACTTCCACGAATAATGCCCCCATCCTTACGCTGCAGTAATCTACTACGTTTGGCTGATGCAATAAACAACATTAGGAAATATACGCAGAGTTGCATTCGTGTCGTTTCGGTCGGAGTAGATCCCTTTTGCGATAACTCAGTGTTTTCTTTGCAGAATAATGTGGCCGAAGTGGATCAGACGCGCGAGACATTGCTGGTGGACAGCCTCATGGATTTTTTCTTGTAAGTTCACCCAACATGCCATGTGGTGACTGACTGATTCTTCTACGTATTTCAGAGAAATCGTGTGCGACTGAATCAGTGCGGATAAATGAACTGTAAACCCATTGTGAGCCTTATCACATTTGGTCGATCGTTCACCACGATCCTGAAAGAGCACCAACCTAAACCACACAGTGGTCAACACTTATTGAAACGGTTAACCGGATGTTATTTCTAAACATATCTTTAATTTACTGGTGTCAGTATTTCTCGGGTCATAAATCCCAATAGCATGGTTTACTTCCAAATACCTTAGCAACGGAAATACACAACATTTGTATTTCTCAGAAACTCATCACGACTTTACGCTTAGCATCACAGTAAAGCATAATCCTTCCATGCTTGTGTTCGTCGGACGCTGTTGAGGTGTTGTGATGGTATTTTGCAAAAAAGAATTCCCACTAGGCGATTTGAAACTTATTAATCGGAAAGTAACGGAGGAAGAATGATTAGGATATTTTTGTGGTAAATTGACGAGCTTATTCATTCCTCGGGAACTGTTAACAGGTTAACACGCCTAACTTGATGGGGGATATCCAGCATAGAAAATTGTGGATGTCTACGGTATTGCGAAGTTTCATCATCACTAGTGGGAATCCTCTCCCTGAAGAAAAGTTAGCCGTAAACTGCTTTCTTCCTGCTTGATGTCTTGAATCGAACGATTGAAGTGGATGAAAAAACCAGCTATTGAGTCCTGGCTAATCCTGCAGAACAAGGCTTCAACTGGCCTTCATCCATCGACCTTTTGCGCATAGTTGCATACTATTGGCATATGAAAGTCTTCCTTTTCGGCCTTTCAGGTCACTGAGACACAAGTCATCACATGGTGTCAAGGTTGAGTCTGATGATAGCTGTTCATTCGTGAGCCCACAGATCCTCTTGACTTCACATACAGTAAATTAATACTTTCAATATGCAAATATGGTCCATCCCATTGACCGTGCCTTTTCCAAACCATAAAACTATTTTTGTTATGAAGACTTGCACCCTGATTCGTTTGGCATNTATATATATATATATATATATATATATATATATATATATATATATATATTTGTTTCGTTTAATCAATTGTGTTGCCTACCGTATTTTCTTTTCTCCATGGATCTTACACTAGGATTATTCGTGTATCCGGTGTCATGTAGAAATGTACGTTCATCGGAGGTGCCTTGTTCCTTCAGTTCCCTTTTTTCTGTCCCCTTCCCTTCATTTTGTGTCAATTATAGTATTATGACTTGCTTTGCCGTTCTGCAAATGTGACCAGATGAGCTCTTCCACTGGACCTACTTGTTGATGCGGCTTCATAATCGTATCATGTATATCGAGTTTATAATTTAGTTTATCCCAATGGGCTATTCATCATAAAATACAATTCAACTCAATGGTGCGAAATCGGACTGTTTAATTTACCACTCAAAGTGTAACTTGAAGAATAAATTTTCCAGTTATATCAATAATTCATTAATCAATTAATTTCAAGTTGACAGTGGTTAATTAATTAATTCAAATAGATTCTTTTTATTCTGTTATTTCCACGATAGTGCACTTTGAAAGGGATTCATTAAATAGCTCATCATTGTTTTGTTTCTTTTTCTTCATATTTTTCATAGTAAAATGTTGCGTCATCCGAGCATTCACATAAGCTATTTCGCTGCCGGCATCATCGCTCATTTGTCGTGCTTGCAAGACGAAATATGGATGACCACTCTTCATTCAACCAAAGATAGCTACATCAAGCTCTTGGTAAGTTTCCTTGTGGCTTGTTGGTTTTCTGGGTGCCCTCATGATAACACTTTGAAGGTCAGGTCTGATGTCACCGTTAACGAACGAGCAAACGTTTCACGAATGGGCTCAAAAATTTGTTCAGAATGCCAGGGTTCGTTGCGCGAATCTGTTTTCGGCTTCTCTATCCAATTTCGTCCAAGGGGAACTGGACTTTCGAATGCATTAAAGTTATTGAGGTTACACCCCGATCGGTGGGTTAGCAGTATCCGGGACGCAAGTTTCTGGCAAGCACTAAAACTCTGTGAAATTATAAATTAGAGTAAGCTTGCGAAATATGCCACTGTATTGACATACACNATTTACGTTTGATCAGAAAACCGGGAAAGGTAACTGGGGATGCATAAAACCAGTAGGGAAGGATGCAAAAGAAGACAAACCGTTTTATTCAATGAGTTAGATTAGATAGCACTTCCAAGCGAATAACTTAAAAGGTGAATCCTGACTTTTTCGGATGTCTCCGCGGTATGAAAAAACCAAGAAAGGTCGCGGGAGGTGGTTACTCCGAGGTATTTAACGGAGCATTTTCTGGAAACTCGTTCTCCATTGATAACGACATGCAAACAAGAACTTATTATGTCAATGTATTTGTCACTCCTCGGCAAAGAAAATAAGAGATTTGTGACCCTTATATTTAGTAAACTGCATGTGATGAGTGAATTAATTACATAATAGATTGATTATTTGCGGCCAAATGCCCTTCTCAGAGGGAGACTGAAAAAAATTGAAGGCGCCACTGTAGTCAAAGACACAGTTGAAGGGTTTTGCACTTTCCATCCATAGAAGAGGAATGAGGGGCAGCATCGCTTCAGGGGTTGATCTATGGTTACGTTAGGCAAATGAAGTGAGATCAGATGCCTCTAGCCGAGAGGACATATGGAATAAAATCTTCTAGGGAAACTTCAAACCAACAGACGTGCAAGCAATCATGTAAATGCTAGGCATTCCGTTTTTGGTAATGGCGTGATGGAAGCCACTTTCCATCAGTCCGGAACACAATGCTATGCCAAGCTCAGGTTGTGCAGATTGGTAAAAATAGAAGGGAGGGACACAACACATTCTTTGCGCATCATTGGCAGCAGTCCATCAGGATCGCATGTTTTATTTGACTACAGACTGATAAAAGTTTTGAAAACATCCATTTGGTCCGTAAATAAATTTGCAGCATTAAGGGGAGGGACGACTGCTATGCATGGACCAAGGGTGTCGGTTACACCATTGCTGTTTTGACGATGGAGATCGTCCTTGTTAACAGATGGCAGATACTCCTTCGATTTGAGACCTCAATACTGTAACTGCATTTTCCATTTCAATGGTCCAGAAGTGTATGTCTTAAGCAGCGTTTGATCTCCGCGATTCCGCCCTATAGCCTTTGAGATATCTCCCACCAAAGAGGGTTTTTGTTTTAAAAGTTTGTTCTTTTTCCAACGTAAGGGTTTAAGTTTAAGAGACGACAAACGATCTGACCATATGTATCAAGTTTCCACCGGCAGCACGCATCATAGCAAAGCTTCACATATTCAGTCAGATTATCGCTGAAGACTAAGGGGTTATTATGCAAAAATAGAGAGAAATCTGTCTAACGTAATATGTATCTCAGCATCACGAGGTTTTCGGGATGACTTTGACGAGATCGGAGCCGACGATTGCGATCCTGGGTGAAGAATTCAAGATTAGATCTACTGTAGATCATGGAAGATAGTTTCAGGTACCGATTGGGGAACGGTGTCTCACGTTCAATAAGTTGGGGTGTTTAGCGAAACATAGATCGAGTTTAGTGCGGAAGGTTACAACGTTCCTCAGGGTAGTCAAGACAGTGTTATCATACCTATTAAGTCACCACATACGTAGCAACGGAAAGAGTCTATATAGTATGATAAGCGGTGGAAAAATGTCTGTGAACTCATTAAAGTGGTCAATGTGACAAGCAGGGGAAGTGTCAGCGATACCAAAACTAATGATCCGATCAGTTCTGACGTATTTAGGTTTGCACAGGTGTATAGCAGTGCTGATGAAAATAGTGGGATGCATAACAACTCGTTTGTTTGAATTGCATCAACGGTCGTTTGTGTATGTGATAACGTTTATGAATTGGAACTAGCAGGTCAATTCGGCAGATGTGTTTTCACTTTTTTGTTACTCATAATGTGAATCACCGTAAAAGGGGATATCCCCATAGACATAAGCATACTGTAAAATAAGGGTAGGGGAACATTAATGTAAGATCTAGTTTTTTTTATTCTGCGTTTAAAGAGTAAAAGATTTTAAGTTGGAGGAAAGACAGACAGTGAGAGGGTGTTGCACAATATTTTTTTAAATTACACACCTGAATGTGATGAGCAGCAGACGGGGCGAAGCCCATAGTCACGAGGACCTGCTGTTCGGTGGTGGTGACCGGCAACCTAAGCCTCGGGACTTGGAGTGGCGAAGCACATACGGCCCTAATAGGTTAGGCGTGGTATTTAACCGGACGACAGTAGAGCTGCCTACCATCAAAGTTGGGTGGCCGTGGCGGGGCTCGAAGCTCGGAACATGGGCTCCAAAACGCGCCGGTGACAGCGACTAAACCACTGCGCCACCACCAGCACCCATATGGCAGTTCGAGGAAAAAAGATCGAAGCACAAAAGCACCACATGTGGTGACCGAAATTTGACAGTAATAACTAGATGCCTGTGTACGGGATGGGTGGGTAAAAGGTGCAAGAAGATGAACTGCCGAGGCAGGTTCCGAAGAACAAAAAAAACAAAGTAGTAACGGTAAACCAGGGACAGTGGCTGCAGACTGGATGTTGTGGAAGGATCCTCGATTAGCGAGATGACGTCTCGCTGAATGCGACCATGAAGGTAGAGAGAGAAGAAGACGAAGCCCCGCCCCGCACGTGATTGCAATATTCAAGATCAGGGCAGATTTGAGCTTTTTGCAATAGATGAGCTGGTGTGAAAAACGTCTTGTGAGAAATAAAACAAAACAGCATCGCGCGCAACACGCGCAGCAAGCTGAGCTATAAAAAGAGACCAGCCTGAAGTAGCAGTTGTGGGCAGTCCAAGAAGGGAAACAGAGTTTGAGGAACGGATTTGGGTGGAATAAAGAAACAAGTAGAGGGAGAATGAATGATGTGTTAGAGAAACTGAATGAAAAGAAGAGTTTTTCGAAGCATTGAATGAAACATGATTGACTTTATTCCAAGAGATGTATTACACATTAGAGTCCAATAACACATTAACTGTACTACAGTCACGATCGGTGTTGGTTTGGGCTTGGCGAGTAGTGCGGGAGGAGAGGAAGTAGTGCAGGGTGGCGTCATCGACAAAAGAGTGCACTGAGTTGTCACTTTTAGAAGGGAGATCATTGATGAGTAGAAGAGGGTGGGCGCAAGTACGAAACCTTGGTGAACGCCAGCATTCATAGGGAACGGCTGAGATTGAACCTCATCAACTTGGACGCAGACGTTTCGCTTAATAAGAAAATTTGACGTCCATACTGCGAGAGCCGGAGAGAACCCGAGTATGGGTTGTATCGCCAGCAGACCTTCGTGCCAAACTGTATCAGAGGCCAAGATAGACAACAAGTGTGTTTCTCCGTGGTTATCAACTGAAGTTGACCAGGATTGAGACAAGAACCAGCAGGTCACTGGTGGAACAACGCTGACGAAAACCATACAGGCGGTCGCGCAATAGTCCTTCGCGTTCGAGGAACGTATGTAACTGGTCGGAGATGATGGTTTCATATTCTTTCGAAAGAACAGATATGAGACAACTGGGTCAGTATTTGTTGGAGTCTGAAAGGTCGCCGAGTTCGGGAGTAGGGAAAGGTCACGATGTGTTTCCAAGGGGTTGGAGGAGTAAATTTATTTGCAAACGTTTTTTTGGGTGAAGTTGGAAACGGATTTGGAAACATCCGAAGAGAAACAGCAATCGTTCCAGGGATAAGCAGCTAGGAAACCACGGAAACCGTCCCCGTTGTCTGAGTTGTCCCGCCAGAATGTCTCTCGATGTGGTGTCGGATCAGGGCTGGTAAACCGAATGGAGGAAGAGATAATGCAGTGATCCGATGACCCACGCGGAGGAAGAGTACATAAATCTGGGAAGAAAGAAGAGTCCGAAGTGAGAAATAGACCGACGGTGTGGGCACGATCACTAGCTCGATCAGGGACACGTGTAGGGTTGTTGACCAAAGCGGAATGTTCGGCTTCGTGCCCCAAAGAAGAATTTGCAGATGAGTGTGTCAATCTGTCCTGATTGTAAAATCTCCCAAGATAGTAACATGACAGTTGGTGTCGGTTGCAAAGAAGTGTTCAATGTTTGATGATAAAACGTCAAACACGGAGAACTCGCCACCATCGGGGAGCGGTATAGAACCCAAAAGTAACGATTGAAGGAAGGAACTCGGAGCTCCAGCCACACCAGCTGAATTTCATTATTAGAAAAGTCAAGATTTGGGATTCTGTAGGCGGCGACTGATTGGTGAATAAAGGTGCAGACACCAGCTTTGGGTAGAAAGGAGGAATGGAGAGTGTAGTTGGGTACTTGAAAGTGGTTGGTTTCTGACAAGGGAGATACTTGTGTTTCGGTCAATAAAAGGACGAAAGAAGAAGAATGGAGGAATTGGTGTACTAAATCAATATATCGGCTCAGTCCGCGAACGTTGATGAGGGTGATGAGTGCGTTTCCAATGCGAGTGCGTAGATCGAGCTAGAGTACGTGAACGTTTGTGATTTCGTAATGTCATGTTCATATTGTGAGAAGGAACCCGGCAATCATGCTCTTCAAAGTTGGACTGGCGAACCACGTAAGGCTTCAAAAGATCAGGCGTGTTAATGAGCCTGGCAACGGCAAAGCCGCTTACCACCGTAGTGATGTAGTACAGAGGACACAATACTAAGTGAACAGGAGAATATCTATAGCGCATTACGGGTAAACGGTTATCCGGAATCTTTCGTTCGTTTTCATAGTCGGACAGG